GGTGTGCCAATCTATTTGCTCTTAGCAACTAACTTCCAGGGTGTGGGTTGGACTCAAGTTAAACAAACAGCACGATTGATATTTTATATCACGCCACCCTACACAGACTCAGGTGAGAACCGAAGAGGTGAGGTATAAAGATGCCTAAATACTAAAAGGCCTCCTTTAAGGGTCGTTTTGCTGTAGGGCCTACCAAACCATCAGATTTGGCCTTTTGGATGGAGGACTTCCAAATCTGCCCGCTGTCCACCTACTATAAAAGGATCCTTATCCCGGTGTCCTACAGCCTAGTCTTTTTGCTTGGCCTGAGTTTAAACGGCGTCCTGCTGTGGTGCGTTATCTGTCGGACGCGCCGCTGGAGCAACACGGTGATCTACCTGACCAACCTCGCAGTCGCGGACCTCCTCTTCGTGTTGGCCCTTCCTCCACTTATCATCAGCGATGCTATGGGAAACTTCTGGCCCTTCGGCAACATCTTCTGCAAAACTGTTAGATTTGTCTTTCTGGTCAACCTCCACTGTAGCATAATGTTTGTCACCTGCGTCAGCGTTCACCGGTTCATCGGGGTGTGCTATCCCATCGCTGCTGTGCGCCTCAGGACCAGAAAGTTCGCCATCCTTGCGTCAGGGTCCATTTGGATTCTAGCCAATGCTGAGATTTCACCGACATTTGTGTTTGCGCACACGGGTGTGATCAACAACATGACTGTTTGCTTTGAAATGACCGGCCCGAAGCAATTTGATATGTTCTTTCCATATGGGCTGTTCTTGGTTATAGCGGGCTTTTTGATCCCATTCTTGGTCGTGGTCACCTGTTACTGCTCCATGATAAAGGTGCTGTACTGCGGGGCCGCGGACAGCATTTCTAATACCAGGAAACAGCGTGTGCGCAAAAAGTGCTTGTATACCCTTTTAACTGTGTGCCTCATGTTTGCCGTTTGTTTTGTGCCGTATCATATTGTCCGCACTGTCTACATGTTTGTCAGAGTCTACATGCCAGGAAACTGTCATCTGCTGAACCTGGCCATGATCACGTTTAAAGTCTGGAAACCGGTTGTCGTGCTAAACTGCTGCGTAAATCCTCTCATCTACTTCTGTAGTTCTCATCCAAAGCGTCTAAAGTTCACAGCCTGGCTCTGGAGGAGGAATAAAAGAGTGGAGCCCACTGTGTGTCTGGTCAGCAAGAGGTGTGAAGGGTATAATCCGTGAAGGGATGTGATCGGTAGACAACAGTGATTAAAATTATCCTACAAACGCATTCTCTGTGTTTTATACTTCATTTTATTGATTTAAATTAAAAAATGCATTTGTCATAACTAAACAATATACAAAATTTCACTAATTGTGCAATTATTATGCAAATACTAAGGTCATCTCGCAATTAACTTGCAAAACTGGAGCAACACCACAATCAACAGACTGCTCAATAGAAAGCAGCAACACTGTGGTCATAGGTGACATTAAACATTTGTGGGAACTGGTGCCCTCTGTCGTATGTAGAGAATCTTATTTCTAAAAGAGAAGAAATATTCAGTTCAAAAATGGAAAATAAGACAGGTCTAAAATATTCCAAACAGTGACATTAAGTAGCCATAAAACAAACACACCAGCGAACACTCGGAACAGTAAGTCAAGTGAAGATTAAAAATAACCTGGAGGTAAAAAGCGCTTCAAATTTCCATTGAAAATAGGACATTTTTTTAAAGCATCGTCTATTTTAGCATATACTTGTCTCGAGGCACAGAGTGACAGTGTTGGAGCAGCAGACAGCTGAATGAAGGGCATCATTTCAGAACACTCCTGTAAGCAAGTGATGACAGATGGCTGGAGAAGTGGTCTGGGATCTGAGCGAAGAGAAGACAGGACAGATTAAATGAAGAAGAAAACCCCCCACAGTGGATTTTAAAACAGCGAAGAAGCAAAGCCTACAAACAGAACAATAATAGAAAAAACATAATGTTCTATCACTGTAAAGATAAGAGGCTGAACGGATTAATAAATGGCTCTCTTTGAATATGAATTGCATAAAGTGTGTGTGTGTGTTTGTATACCTGTGCGCCCAGCCTGGAGAGATAGCGGTTGCGTAAGCCAAAAGCAGACATGGGTGCCAGTCTAGCCAGCTCACCCTGTGTCGGCTTACTTGGCTGCCTTTCTTTCCTGCAGGAAAAAATAAAATAACATAGACACTTTGAACATCTCTGCAGCCAACACTAACATGAACACAATTATGCAAATATTACAATAGGATTAGTCACCCAGTCTGCTGCAGAAGACAGAGAAAAGGACACAAAAGTATTACAGAATAACTTCTTCAATAAAAAAAAAAAGGATGCTTTAAAAAAAATGTTTAATTGAATGTCATTGTTCATGGCATCAAATGTGATCTTTTCAATAACTTTGAATTTTTCTGTACCATTTCACAGTCATCTTGTACACAGTTCAATGTCAGTTAAAGTTTAATACAAGTTTTCTCTGTTAAACAATTGCAGTGAGTTCCCGACACCACAGAGCAAACAAGCTGACCGAGCAGCCATTTCTGAGTATAGTCATTTAAATGTGTAACTACCTTTTTTTTTCTTCCCTTTTTGTACTATTAATTGTACTGGCTGTCTTTATGTATGTATGAAATTCTTGTTAAGACTCGAATAAGGGTTCATTTGCCCAACTGAGGTAGTGAATGTTAATCATCCACAGTGCGTGACCCTGCCACTAACACAAAATCCTCCTCCCACATTACTGGAATGGTCAGTGTTAAGCTGAATATGTTGTTACACCATTAAGATAAAGCAAATATCAATTTGGGAAAGTGCTTAGAAAGAATTAATTACCTGAGCTTGATAAAAGAGCAATAAAGACAATCGATAAAACACAATTCTTTCGTGGAACTGATCTGACTCTTTAAATAAATAAAGGTCACATTAATGGAAGAGTTTAGAAAAGTTGAGACTGTGAATATCATTACATGGGTAAGCGTGTCAAAGGTGTATCTCATATATATATATATATATATATATATAAAATTTAAAAAAAATGATCTTTAAGGTAATTGTAACATTTGATGATGGAACAGAAAATAAACTTTTATGAACTTTGCAAATCAGCAAAGAGTAAATGAAGAAATAAGAGAATAAGCCAGTAAAGACTTAAACAAAGAGCTCTGCTCTTTTTGAGATAACCTGCCACACAAAGGTCAATGAAACATATTAGAACTGACTATGAGCCCATTGTGCCCAAGCACAGTCCAAAAAGGCTGATTTTGGTTAGTAATTGTGACAAATGGTGTGTACATAAATGAACTGCAGAGCTTTCTGCAATCAGGCTAATAACAGTTGTGCAGAAATGTTGGAGTTTTTTTTGTAAAAACAAGAAAACAAAAAAAACAAAACCCCAAACATTTAAAATCAGTTACCCCATTTTACATGTTAAAAAGCTAAATTAACAATAAATAGTACATGATAAAAATCAAAGGACCCCTTCCCTCTGTGCTGTAAGTACAAATGTCATCTTTTGATAATTCAAATATTTTTCAAGCATGCTGAACTTTGACACACACAAAAAGTCAGTAGTGAGTGAATCCAAGTAGAAATAAAGTAACTTTGACACGTTGGAGAGTAACTGTGGATTAAGTAGGATATGTCGTTTGTCAAGTGTCCCGTAAAATCGCATTTAGACATTTATGCAAGGTTATACAACAGTCCCAATTCCAGACAGTCAGTTCTGGTGTGAAGAACCACAGATGACATCACTGGGCGGAGTCAGAACCGCAGTCCTGCCCCATGGTAGCAGATTGAAAGCTCAGGGGTGGACACTGCAGCCTGCTGGCTCTGAAGCCCAGGACCATGTGTGTTCGCTCATCATCATCATCATCATCATCATCTGGAAAATATCAATTAAAGCATGAACCAGGAGATATTAATCAGTCTGCACAAGTCATAACACACACATAAAAATAGAGATTAGTCAGGTTCTACATGAGTACAGAAAACATGTGACTTTCATCGTTCTTTCTAATTGTAACTGAACTGAAAGTAGAAGTATTGGTTTCATTCAGTGCTGCGAGTGCAAAATAAACCAACCACAGCTAACATGCACGTGTCAGTACAAATGAATATGAAAGCCGAAGCACATAACCCAGCCAGCTAATATAGAAAATGACTTCCTGAAGTTAAAGAAAACTCGCTTCAAAACATGTTTGCCTGTGTGTGTGTGTGTGTGTGTGTGTGTGTGTATTAAAAAACAACAACTTTTGAACTAAAACCTAATAAAGGATTTTTACCTTTAAAATTTCTCTTTGTTGCAGAACCAACAACAAAGTCTGTGTCAGTCCGCTTCATTTTTATATGTGTAATACATGTATAATATATAATACATACAAAATACGTGTTGTACAGGTTTCTTGCATTTTAAGCGTGGATAATAAGAAATCATAACATTATTGATACACTATTAACTATTATTTGTAGTTAAAACTATTAGTTGTGTCTATATTGGAAGTTTCTGTCTACCTACAATGTGTTTATGTCACTTGACCGCATGAGAGAAGTGTTCAATACGTTTCTGAGATGCTTGTCTAATTGATGCGCAAGTGGGTGGAAAAGCACTGACGGTGTGTGGAAGGTCAAAGCTACTCACTCTGCATCTGAACTGGCTTCTTTACTGAGTTTGGCTCTGGCTGCGGCTGACAGGTTCAAATCTCCTCCTGGAGCAAGAGAAGGAAATAGGCAGATTAAGCAGTGAGTGAATCTGATGGTAAGGAAAAGAGTGTGAGAGTAAAGTGAAAAGATGTCATATGAGAAGGCTTATGAAGAAAATCGGAGACAATAAAGAAACACAAAAAAGAGAGGAGTGAAAATGTGGGACAATTCAACACTCCAATCTTTTCTCACCTTTAATGTAATCCACAAAGTACAGCAACACTGCGGCTATCAGTCCAACTACAAGAAAGTGGAAGGAAAACCAATGCAAAAAAGACATAACCAACAATGGCACTCACAAGTGTCTAACAAGACTTTGGAAAAAAAAAAAAGGGAAACAAAAAGACATAATAGTACTGACCACAAATGCAGGCGCAAAAAAACACTTCCAGAACCAGGTACCCTTTGCTGTCGAGGATCGCCCCTGCCGCTATGGAAATGATAGCGAGTCCCAGGTTCTGAATGGACTGCATACTAATGTGCAAAGACAGAGAACACACATCAGTGTCCATATAGCAATATTTATATGTTAATGGGTGGCCCAAACAAGCAGAATATGTATAATTTAAGTCTTAATGATAAAAAAAAGGTACATACAAGCCATAGGCTGTCCCGAGTTGATGTTCAGGCACGACAAAAGCCACCATGGGCCAAAGTGCACAGGCCAATAAGGAGTATGACACGCCAAGCAGGGACTGGAAATCAAGCAGATGCACAGAATCTCACTTTACAATTTCTCAGTTGGCTGAGACCAAAGAAGTTAACTGGACACGAGATAAAACAATTCTCCAACTGAAAAAAAGTTTTAGTTCATCCACACGAACTCAATTTTCAAGACATACTATAACTGTTTATGAATGTGCAAAATGTTTAAGTGCAGTGTAAAAGGTTGCCAGGGAAGTTACCATTGCGATCCATGGGTTCCAGAAAGTGAAGGCCAGCATCATGTGAGCGGCAAGTGTTGCTGCCACTGCAAGCAATACCCAATACACGTTCCTCCCAGTCTTATCAACCATGAAGCCCAAAACTGGAGATGCAGGGGCTGATATGATGTACACAATACTAGGAAAGATAGACAACGGACAATGAATGATTCATGTTAAAACATTATATAATGAATATCCTTATATTAAATGAAGAACACGCTATTTTAGGAAATTCACCCGCCACAAAAACTGCAGAATATAAAGAGTGCTAATATCTTAAGGTAGCTTGGTCTCAGTTGCCCAACAGGCAACACCTAAGCTGAGTTACCTGTTGACAGCTCTGGCTTGAGCTGGGGAGAAGCTGAATTTTTCAATGAAGAACACCCTGCGAATGAAAAGACAAGATGATGCGTTCACAGTACAAAGCACTGCTTAGCTTTTTGGCTGTTATGACAACAAAAGGAGAGATTGAATTTTCATAGCAGCCATCCGCTCAGTTAGCGCTGACCCATTGTGGCAAATCCATGTCAGTTGCTACGTGATCTGAGAACGCCTTTCAGTGAAGGAAATTCATTTTGTAATGGCTGCAATTGTGTCCTTTCACTTCAAAGCTATTTGTCAAAAACTCCCTTTGTAGTTTAATCACAACACAAGATTGTGAGGTTGAACAACTACCTTGATGAAGGTTCTTTATTTAATTCTTATCAGGCATTTTAACCATAACAGTGCATTATTTAGAGTGGGAGTTCTTTCTTCACTCAAAGCTAAATGGTTATGGGCACATCACAGGATATGTTGACTTTAGGAAAGACTAAATCAGGTCACTTTTAACATTAAATGAATAACATATAAAATACACCACTAACAAACAAAGATAATGCACTTGGATGTTGGGATCTGTGTGCTGCTTCCTGTATTTCATGAGAAACAGGGGATGCACAGAGCAGACAGCGTTCTGCAGACAGTATACATACTATAAAAGCAATATAAGGACCACTGGAGGAAACATGGTGTTAGAGGAAGAGTGCAGACGTATGGAGTACTCACTGTCCCAGTCCAATAAAGGGGAAAACTGCCACGTAGTAGCCTACACAAACGATGAAGATAAGCCACAGGGCTGCAGGGAAATGCTTCACATCCGTGATCTTGATCACTTCGCCTAACATGCAACACAAAAAACAAATCTGTCTGAGAACACCATTTGCTGTGACCAACTCTAAAAGAATAAATGCTTCTTTAACACATGTCAACCTTTTTCCTTATTGACAAATGCTACAGCATGCCAAATTTAAACATTTTCTTCCCCACCGAGTAGTAGTTTTCATCCATGATTCTGCAGACTAAACCATTTGAATACAAAAATGCCATCAGTTCATTATTTTATCATATTTGATGTGCGTGATTTTTTTTTTTTTAAATAAATACTTCATGAGTTAGGCAGGATACACATGGATGCATTTCAGGCTTCAGCGCTCTCACTTCTCATTTCCCTTTTAATAGGGTGACATCATGCGATGCCAACTCAACTTGCTAATGTTGCTTCTGCTGAAAGTTTTTGAGAAATTAAACTGTTGACAAGCCAGCAAATGGGTTAACTAATGAAACCACACAATGCAACCATTGCAACCAAAAAAAAAAGGTTTTGAGAGGTGAGAGAGACCTTTGACAACTAACTTCTGGTAATTTCAACCTAAAGACCAAGTGGATATTCTTGACATTTTAAATGTAAATAAATTCAAGAGGTTATTTTTGTCATGTGACTAGGGTTAGAACCACCTAATCACCTCTGGCTATAACTGCCACCAACACAACAACAACAAAAAGTCCAACACAACAGAGAAAGTAGAGTCAAACCAGATAGTTGGTTTTAGAGCTCAACAAAACAAAAACTAAATCTGACTTTGCACACGGGGGCAATCTGCAACGATTGTGGAAGAACTTCTAGTATTCATTCACTGATGTGAGTGAAAGAGGGAAAACACAAAATTGAGGGAGAAAGTATGGGAAGATGTTACCTGTTCCTTCTTGTTCCTTGTTGAGGATCCTCTCGGCTCTTTTGTCAAGGAATCCCAAAACCAAGGCACAGACTAGGGAAAACACGCACGTTATGGCAGCTAAGGGGAGAAAAAGAAATGGAGAATCAGAATCATTTTATTGCCACTAAACATGTTCAGTGAAATTAGAAGCAGCAGGAAACAACACAAAACTGCAAGTTGTGCAAAAGTGGAAACGTCTGCATGTCAGAGGATAACATTACAAGAACTGGCACTTCTTCTGTTCCTTGTGATTCGTCTGGAACAGCCGGCAGCACTTTTAGTTCTCTATATCACTTCTCTCTGTTGGTTTGTGCTAGCTGTGTTACTTGAACTTAGAAGTAAAAAAGAAAGGGTGTAGCATTTCTACCAAACAAGGAAATAAAGGGGGTGTAACTGGAGTCTGAGAGTGTAAAACTCACCTGACAAGTCAGGTTCAGTGAAGTGCAACTGTAAAACATTTACCTATCAAGAGTGATGCACCCAGCACGGTGTGTCCAGGCGAGCCAACAGCATCTGTAACTCTGTTATAAATCCAGCCCATTATGTTCATGTTCACCGTGCTGCCCTTGGGATGAGCAGAGAAGTCAGTGGCATGCATTTTGTACAGCTTACCTCATTGAAAATATCAAAACAAACAAAAATACAAGTATTTCAAAGCCTGTATAAATGCACTTTTTCATTTGGAGCGTTCTTACCACGCGAGCCATGCTCAGCTGAAGGCCAAATACTAGATTGAGCTCCTTGCCTTTGAACCAGTTCACTGCATATGTGTTTTGGGCTACTGCCAAAGACTCTCCTCCAATACTACCCAAGAAAAGACAACATAGAAGGGATCATGTAAGCAACAAGACTGAAAACCTGAGTCCTAGAATCAGACTTTAATGTCTCTTGACGGATAAATATATGTGACTGAATAACACCACACTGACTTTGTTTTAGCGACTTGATGTGTGTTCAGGTTCGCTAAGAATCCCCCATATATGGTATTTCTGACTATATCATTCATATTCTGTAAGCTGATATGAATCAGTGTCATAAGAAACTGCATGTTTTTTATTACTATTTCAAACAAGAAAAGGACCAATGTTTGTTTGTTTTTTACGTTTTTACATGCTAGTAAAATAAAAAGGTTTAACTAGAAGACAGTTTGTTTTGGTTTTATTACCCAAATATAAATCGTCCAGCTTCCATTAGCCAAAATTGATTTGTCCATGCTCCAGCAGCAAAGACCACCTATGCAGAGGTAGAAAAGTTAAAAACAATCTAATCACCACAGTTTTCCCAAGGATTTTTTCTATTGAGCTATATGGATTTAAACAGAATGTATATCTGTAACTGCATTCTTCTGAAACTTCAAGAGTATATTACCTGACCAGCACAGACAAAAAGGGAAAAGATGATGGTTCCCAGCCTGTAAACAAGAACATGGGGAAAGATACCAATCAAGACGACATGTACAAAATCCATACGGAGCATTCACTTTTGTCTTTTGGGTGAAAATACATAAACAACACATAGTTGGCAAAAAACATACAACCGACTGGTTCTTCTCGTTACCTGACACCAAAGACCCGATCAAGCAGAAATCCCCCAAAGAAGCAGAGGACTACATTAGGCCAGGAGTACCAGGCGTACAACTGCATGAAGTCTGCAGTCGTCAGATGCAAATCCTGGGCGAGTCACAGAAGAAAAACAACAGACATTGGACTCTCGCTTTGTGTTAGTTTTTGCTATCAAATCTGTGTAACAACATCATTTACTAGGAATCTTATTTGACTGTTCTTGTTGTTTATTATGTAGATTTTTTTTTGTTTACACAGAGTATGGTGATCTTTAAAAGATAACCTCTGTTCTATATAAAAAGAAATCTCCAAAAGCTTGTTAGTGTGGGATTAAAATAAATGTCTGCATTTGGTTTTAAGGCCCTGGTGTAAAAGTTTGAATTATGTGTGAAATACCTGGATGACTTGACTTTGGAGTGCAGCGGGATTATCGTAACAGAAGTAGCTTCCTGGAACAAAGCACCCACATTAGCGGGGCTCAGACGTGACACTATTGCATTTATTATACATTTCATACATAATAAGCAGACAACAACGTGCATTATTTACAGTAGCTTGATAGTATTTAACTTTAGTTAGTCCCAAATCTCCCACATAGCTCGCCGTGCCGCCTTTTACTCCTTACCGAATCCCAGGAAGCACATAAAAAAAAGGACAACCAGTCGGTGCAGTAAGCGGCTGGGGTCGCAGATGGCGAGCATGGGCCTGCCGGGTCCACTGCCCCTGTCCTCGTCTCCCAACAATCTCTGCCGCTCTTCCAAATCCGCCATGTTCGATTATTTGTGAGGTTCACAGCAGAGAGGAAGACCTAAGAGTGTCAGTCATATGACCCGTTATGCACGTCACGTGGCATTATGTTCGCGCAGTGAAGCTGGCGTACGCCTCGGGAGCGCGCACAGTCAGCTGAGCGGAGTGGGATGAGTGTAAATAACAGACGAGGTTTCGTCTTACACAGTGAGCACAAACGGTTAGTTAGTAAGGTTTAGTAACGTTTGTCACGATGTAGCATGAAATATTAGACGCTAAAAGCTTTTACTGTTGAGATCACCTTTCCCTGAAAAACGAAAGATGGTCTTTTAGGGATGTTTTGAAAAAGAAGAGCGGAGTTTGCGTTTAAAAATTCTTCTTTGAAGAAACGAAAGCGGATTCAAGTGGTTTTAAACTTTACAGTAAAAAGTGTGTCAGTATTTTTGGACAGATAAAGTAGTCACTTTAATTTAAAAGCTTAAACTATTGTGATAGCTAGTTTCGTTGGTCACCGGATTCAAAGATGGTGAGAATAAAGGTTAATGAAAATTGTAAAGACTATATTTCTTCATAGGAGATGGAAGAATAAAGCAATAAAGCTAAATCGCCTATATTGGACTTGAATTGTCAGGTGACCTGACAGGTGATTCCCAACATGTCATCAACATGTCAAAAACTATACAAAACTACAAACTACAAAAACTTGGTGGGTGGGGGGCGCTGATAGTCACAAAATAAACAAATGCTATTTTCATTACACTTACACGTTAGATTGAGCAAATATGATAAATTGTATTTCAAAAACCAATACTCAGACATTTATCTCAAATTACAGACGCTGATTTGATGGTAAGACAGACCAGTGACAGACCAGGATTTTATCTTTTAATAGTTTTCAAGATTTTCATGTTTAAACATTTCATAGCGTGAAAAAAAAAGCCTAAAAGGGGGTCAACCAATCATCTTGAAACATATTTGATATATGAAGTTTCAATTGTATAACAGCCCAACTTTGGACTATAAATCTTTTATGCAAATCAGAGAGAGCTGAGCAGAATGCTCACGTTGATTTGAGAACGGCATGACTCGTGCCAATTCGATATTTTGTGGTATTTTATGTTTTTACCCTCAAGCGGGTCACCTCATAAACTGTACTGTTCATCTGTAGTGAGTGTAGGCTGACTGTCCACTGTTTTGTGAAAGGAGACAGATACAGGTTGAGGAGTCAGTGTCGCTGTCCGATGACACAGACACAATTGTTGTGGAACTCCTGAACTTTTCTGTCAGTAAGGACTGCTGTCTTTGGTACTTTGCTAGTTGCTGTTAGCATCTCTTAGCTGCTGTTAGCTGCTATTAGTGAAACTTTCTTTGAAGTGGATATAACATTTTTGGACACAGACTCTTGGCAAATAAACTCTCATATGATGTGATAATGTAATCACACTCTTTATCAGAGTAATGCTGTTAATAACCCCCAATGTTATATCACTCCATCCATCCATCCATCCATCCATTTTCCTCTGTTTATCTGGGGATGGGTCTCAGGGCAGCAGACTGAAGCAGAGAAGCACAGACCTCCCTCTCTCTGGCCACCAATTCCGGGTTGTGCGGCAGAACACCAAGCTGTTCCCAATCAAGCTGCAACATATAATCTCTCCAGTATATCCTGGGTCTGCCCCAGAGCCTTCTCCCAGTGGAACATCCCCCGACACCTCACCCAGGAGGCATCCTTGTCAGATGCCCTAACCACCTCAACTGGCTCCTTTCGATGTTTTACGCTCAGCTCTCTCATTGCAGCACCACAGCGCCAATCTGTCTGGCGATCTCCTGCTCTCCTCTCCTCCCCTCGCTCATGATCAAGACCCCGAGATACTTCGATTGATTCTGATTCTATGTATATATTTTTTCAGATTTTTTTTACTTTATTGTAACCAAATGTAGATTCCGTGCAATATAAATATATCATCCTAACATATTTAATTGTCTAATAAATTTCCTAAAATGACAGTGAGTGTTTTAAAACTGTTGGCAGCTCTAACATGAAAACATTACTTGACAAGTGTGTTCGGGTCTTAGCGCTCATCTCCATATTTTTCCTGCTTCCTTTTTTATTTTGACAGTCTCTCATCCTGTGTTCAGTGTGTTTAGTTTTACTCCCCCTGTGTCATCATGTCCATTCATCCCAGCTGTTGTCACCTCTCTGTGTGAGTTTCCCTTTGTTTGTCGTCTGTTCGTCTAGCTCAGGTACTAGATGTTTCATGTTTCGTGTTTCATGTTTAGTTGAAATCAAGTTTTGTTTCCACATGTCTGCTTTTGGGTCCACATTTCAGCCTTCACACGGTCTGTCAGTGCAGACCTTGACTACTGGTTTTGCTGACATGTGAGCTACACAACCATGCAAGTAAATGTCAGTCCCTACCTCATGTTATAGATCCCTAGTCATAGAATTCTGTTTCTGTGGAAATGGGTAGGTAACATTATCTTTGGGGGGTTTATTTAATTTCCATGAATGTAATTTAGTATTTCTCATAATTCACTACTATCATCTGTCAGAGGATTTAATCTGAAGGTGATGAATGGTCCTTCCCCCGGCTGCAGTTGCTACTCTCCCCACTCAGTAGCTCATTAATTTCCTGCCCAAATATCAGCCTCTGTCGTAACCGACAGTGGGTGGGGTGGAGAAAGATCATATTTCATTATTATATTAATCAAACCCACATGCAGACTGGATTATAAATCAGGTGGGAAGTGACATTAATTCTGCCGAACCAGTTTGTAAATGTCCAGAAGCCCATCTTCGGGGTGTGGTAGTGTGGGGAAAAGTCCATTAATTCCAGATCTGTATTCTTTTTCCCATCCCTTGTTCAATTTGAAAATTCATCAGAAGCTGCTGCAGCATTGTGAAAGGCAGTATACTATACTTGGAAATTCTTGCAGCATTGCTGGGCGTTGTTCTAGTTGGGTTGCAGTGGTTGTTATCAAATAGCTGATCTCCTGCAATGCGCTATGTGTCTGCGTTTCTGTCCTCATGTTGGACAGGGTGTTGTTCATTGTTCTTTTTTTTACCTTCATTGTTTTTTTCAAAAAATGTCCCAAATATGAAATAACACTGATATTAGATAGGTAAATATTGTCATCTATCATTTAGTGTAAAGTGTGCAAGCAAAAAACAAACAAACAAATAATTCAAATAATTAAACACCATGAAAAGTTATTTGAAGCTCTGTGTTTCTCAACCATATTCCTGTTAAGCTTTCATAATGCACTGACCTTTTCTTTCTATTTAATTGGCATCTTTTCTTTAAGTACCAGATGTGACAGACTGACTAACACCAGTATT